CCCCAATGCTTTCACATTGTTCCATTTCCCTGTGTTCTGTCTATAAAGCCATAGAAATAACTTCCCAGCACATTTACTTAGCCCTTCCAAATCTCATTCATTCCTGAAGGTCAAATCAGTGCAATGATAAAATTGTCTCTGAAGGAGCCACAAATTCATGAGTAACACATGATTTATTTTCCTTCTTCAAATGTATTTAAATTTTTGTCAGAACTGGAAAAATATACTTTTGGCCAACCCTGTGGATGCTATGTGATAAGTTAGATTTAATACATTAAAACATAATATTCCTCCATGAAATCTATTTCTCTGTTTTTGGAGTCAGTATTGCTTTCATATAGTCTTGGACTCTAGAATTTATTGCTATTTCTGTCAGGCTATATGTATCCATACCTTTAGTGGGCTCAGATTCACTCCTGTGAGCAGTAAACTCTTTGAAACCAGCTACTCATGGTGGTATACACTTGCAATCCAAGCATGGAGCTGAAGAGGCAGGAGGATCATAAAGACTGTAAATCAAGTCCAACCTGGGCTACAGAGTGAGACTCTGGCTCAGAAACCAAACGAAATAATTAACTGAAACATAAAAGTATCACAAATTCTTGCATCATTCCCCTGGTAGAATAAAAATTCCTCTAGTAATAAAGGACTGGAAATATACATTTTTTTTTTAAAAAAAAAAGCCATTTAAATGAGTCTGTGTTACAGCTATGCTTGAGAACCTTACTCACAGAGCAGATGACCAACTTTTTATGGCATCTTGGTAGCAGAGGTTTCTCACCTCTGGACATCATTTGCATGTCCCATCACCCGAGGAGAAACCATAGAGTAGGAGATTGTTAGGGTTGAGTGTGTGGAACTTGGGGGTTCATGCTGAAAAAGAGTAGGATAGCCTCAGCTTAAATTGTTTTTTTAACAGGTATTCCTGACTTCAATGCCACAGTGTAAGTCCCTTCAATATAATGGTTTTGGAGTGAGAGTAAAAAGAAAGATAGTAGAGGCTTCTCAGAAAATGGAGAGGTTTTTCAGAAAATAAAGCTAGAATAATGGGTAAGTGGCCACATCCATTTCTAAGGACCCAGTGACTTGAAATTTAATTGTGAAGAATCCAATCTTTTGGCTTAAAACTCTGTGAGTTACATATGACTGATCCCATCAATCCCTGCCAGAGAAGACATTGTGATGATGTATATAGAGAGATCTGAAAAAGTAGGTGGGAGAGAAAGGAGATGTTGCCAAAAGGGAAATGCACAGTATTTTGCAGACAGCATCTGGACAAACACGGCTACCTTAATTTACCACACTTTGAATAAACTAATAAATATTCTGTTCATCCCTCCTCTGGTTAGAAACTCTTTGGTCTATGCAGCCAACACTGCTCTTTGCTGACTTGGGCAGAACACAGCAGGAAAGTAGCCTTGTTCCTAGGTCTCATGGTCTAAGCTGGCCTAGGAGGGAAGCCTAGGAGATGAGGATTTTCCTCTGACTCCATGTGTGGCCTCTAGCCAGTCTCCAAACAGCTTTAGTTTCCTTGTATGCCAAACCAAGATAAATATCTTCTCTTCCCCTTCCACCCTCACTACATTGCAAAGCAGCACTTTTGCCACCTTCATTAACCTTTTCCAGAGATCAACAGAAGAAAGCTTTTGAGAATGTTTTAAGATGAACTATTCATGTTGTTAGCACTGTCTTCAGGCTACGGGAACTGAGGTTGCATTAGGAGAAAGGAGAGTGTAACAAGGTGTGATAATAGCAAACACAACAAACTCAGGAGGCAATGTTTGTAGTGGAAGAGAAACACCAAAAAGAGCTTGGGATTGGGGTGCAAGGGAGAGAAGTCCACAATTGGTACCAGATGCCATCAGAAGCTAATGACCTGACAAACACCGTCCTCATAAAACAAATTCCTTTTAAAGGAAGCAAACGGAAATATAAGCTAGTGAAAGAATTTGTGGCAGCTGCCATCAAACCATTTCTCACTTCATAAACAGGTTTGTGTTTGCTTTCTCTCTGTCTCTGTCTCTCTGTAGAGAGACATTCTCTGTTTCTGTCTCTGTCTCTCTCCTCCCTGGTCATGGTCTTACTTCAGGATACCTTTCGCTTTTCTGTGCCTCCTGTCTTGAGTTCTGCTCTGCTGCCAATGCTGGCTACACTCCTGGTGCTAGAAAGATGCTCATAACACCAGTAATACATGTGGTCTAAGCCATATTGATGGAAAGAGACTTATGCATAGAGTTCACTTTCTGTCCTGTCTCAGCATGTGCCAGTCCTTCATGATGATGTGGATTCATTGGCTAAATTCACTCTACAAGTTCCTTGGCAATCAGTTGACATGAACCAGAGAGTCAATGACCCTTTTCTAGCCCTTCCTGATCAACATGCTGAAGGAGATACAGGGGTTTGGAAATGAATAACATGTAGCATTTGTGGATTTGTAGTTCTTTGGCATTATGAAGGAAGTATGCTGGTTCATTCCAAGGAGAGTCAAGTTTTGACTCTCTTATCCAGATGTTGAGTAAAGGCTCAGAGACTGCCTCATTTCTTACATTGCACATCCTCTGGGCAGCACTGGATTTGGGGGATTCATACTTGCTCACTAATGATCCTCCTTTCCTCAGCTTATATTTCTCCTTTTTCCAATGGGCTGCATGCATGTGACATCATCATAGGGTATAACTATGGTATAAGAAAAAAATCCCTTCATATCATGTATTTCCACTTTTTCCACACTTTCCCTCTCAGGCATGCACAGAAGAAAAGAGTGTCACTGGAATAGTGTTTAAGCCCCATGCATCAGGGACAGCCATTTATCACAGTCAGCTCAAATCCACCTTTTTAGGGAATACTGCTTCCTAAACCAACTCTCAATTATGGTAGGACCTATGTACATATTTCATGGCACTTTATTTTCTACATTCTTATATTGTTGGCCCATTGTCTGATAATGTCATTGACAACTAATATAAACCAAGGACAAGAATACATCATTGATGATGAATAATAGCTACTCTCTCTAGTGCTTATCATCGTTGACAAGGACATCAAGAGTAAGAAAATATGTTACTAGTCTCTCTCACTAGACTGAATTCCTTAAGGGCACAGCCTTTGTTATACCACCAATGCTCATCCCAATGTCTTACAAAGAATATGCCCTTTTGTTGTGAGATAATTCCACTGCTGAACATCCATGGATAGTCTTTCAGCTGAATAGAAAGTCTGTATTCGCCTGCTTGTGGCTACATGGAGAACTTGCCTAAATCATGCAGCCCTGAGCCTCACCATTCTTTTTTGGCTTTTATGCACAAAACCACATCCTGGTTGACACACTTTCGTTAGCAAGAACAGTTAGTAAGAAGAAAAACTACATAAACCAAAAAGTAAGGTTCATACATGTAGGTATTTTTTTGGATCCAGGTACTATGAACTAGGTCTTTGACAGATTAAGTCTTTGTTCTTGTTGCAACAGATTTTGGGTTCTATTCACTGGTTACATGGTTCCGCTAACATGGTGTCACTTATGCTAAATTCTCGGGGCATTTTACACTTTGTGTTTAGTGGTGAATGAATGATAGGGGCAGGATGGTTGAATCATTGTTGGATAATTTTCTTTCATGTGATTTAACACATTTTTTATTTTAATAACATTGACTAGCTTTGCTATCTGAAATAGGAACAAATTTAATTAAGAAAGCTTTTATTGTATTCACTATAGCCAAGTATATGGTGATTTAAAATTGGGCAAGAAGAAGTATTTCTCAAGAACTTCATATTCCAGCTGTGAGACTAAGGACACAATCACATAATAATTGTCTTGTGGGTAAATGGATGAGTGCATTAATCAAGTGACTTAAGAACAAGAAAATGCATACATAGCAAGATCAAATAAATTATTAAAAGAAAGTTATTTTTATACTTTCACTAAGAAATTTGAAGGAAGAAAGTAAATTGGGGAGAGTTGCTTCTTGGAGGAGGAAAGTCTTTTAGAAATCTCATTAAACACAAGAAAGATGTGGAAGTGAGAGAAATAAAAAAGAAGGGAGCAAAATAGAAAACACATACTAAGATGAGGTTGGACCTTTGGCAGCAGGACAACAAAGGGGCTAACCTGGGAACAGTATCAATACTGTAGGGCGTATACCTTATAAATCTCCTTTGAAGAATGGATCTGAAACATTAGGGAATGAATAACTCACTCTAAACCATGCAAGTATTAAATGGTGGGCCCAAGACTGAAGTCTGCTGCAAATGCTTTGGTTAAACTCTGTGTTTCCACTGTGGCGGAGGCTACACTTTTCTTGCTTCACTTTCTATCGCAATATTGCTGCTATCACAGTCCATGCTCAATCTCCTTGAACTTTAGAGGGGTTTGTGTACCTCTCGTGCTGCTTAATCTTGATCCTACTGGTCCAAGAGGCAACCCAGTGGTAAGGAGATATCTCTGGAAGTCCCTGGCACAATGTCAGGCATGTGATGGGAATTCAGTCCAGACTGTCAGGTTTCCTTAACCTGGGCTGCTCTTTAGTGGTATGTACCAGTCGTTGAAATGTTTTCATATCAACCAGTCTGTGATCTCAGATACTCCACCTCTTCATACAGGCACCCTGGAATGTCCTTTGGATTAGTTATCTAAAAGGCCAGTGCCTGATGAAACCAGGTTCTATCCTGGAGATTTGTCCTGGGTCTATTCCAATTGCTTGGGACCTAGAAATATTGTTGTTTAATGCATCATCCTTTGGTCTGTTTGTTTCTGAGATTGTCTGGAACATAGAAAATGTGTATTCTACCTTATTGTATCAGCATTGACTCTCCTGGAAGGCCACAAGTTAGCTATTATGGTTGAATTTGAGCATGCCTCATAGTTCTCAGCAAGCAAGAACAGAGTGATGAATTCCATTCAGGCTATGAATAAAATCTTCCCGAGGTTTAGGTGTGTTATCCAGAGATGTAAATTGTTGTTGCTTAAGCTTGTCCTAAGATGCTTCTGTTTCTGTTATCCTCAGCTGTGCCCAACGACAATGTGGAGAACACAGATCATGTACACCATTGCTACTTGATCATGCGGACATGGTAAATTGTACCTCCAGTGGTCCAGGTCACATGAAGTGTGCTGTCACTTGTCAAAGGGGGTTTGTCCTTCAGACCAGCAGTGGGCAGTACCTCAGGACCATGCAGGTGAGTTGGAAGCCAATGATCAGAAGAAACAGTTACTGGGGCAGGACCCCCCCCCCCCCCGCCTAGACTGGAAAGGGTGGGTGATCTTAAATCTTTGAGAGTGAAAACTGTGATCTCTCTGAAAAGCAATGGGAAGCAATGATGGTACAAATCCCAAGGTGTCCAAACATGTGAATCTCTGATTCCCTAAGGTGTTAATTTACTCACTATATGGGCAGGAGAGATGAGTTCTTATTCAGTGTTTATTTAACTTGTCTTCTTTCCAGATGAGAATGTCTCAAAGTAGACTTGTTCATAATTCACAGCAAAACAGATTGTTGTCAATTTGTCTAAGGTTCATTATAAACCTTGTGCTCTCTTCATCCTCTTTCGAGATTGTTGGAGGAACATAACCAAATTGTACTTCAAAACATTAAATCTGCATCTGAGGCAGGGGTTGTATCATGGTACTATTTTTTTTCCCATTTTTACATATCCCATCCCAAATTTTACTGCATTATTTTCAGGATCTTAGGTGGCCTCGGGGAGTAGAACGTATTAGTGAAGAACATGGTTCAAGAGACAGATCTAGGCAAAATTTTTGTCTCCATTATCTTTTAGGTGTACAACAGTAAGGACAAACAAAATAATCCCTTTAAGCTTGTTTTTACATTTGTAAATGTTCCAAAGAGAAATATTGAACTTGCTGAGTTATCACAATGGTTGATGAGCATTATTTAAAAACTTCTAGAAGAATGATTGGTACTGGGTGCTCTGATGAGTAAGATTCTTGTATTAAGAACATGATAACTATTCTTAACTAAAGGTCTGGTTTCTTATCTCCCCTTGTGAAAGCTTACAGCACTCAACAGGGGAATTTCAAGCACACATAAGCCATTGGGAAACAGGACCACATTATGAGGCAGTGGAAGTATATATGAGGTAGACTACATTATGCAGAGAGAGCCAGAAATATGCATGTTCATGGAAGAATAGACACAGCATTGCTGGTCAGATGTTGATGGTTTGAGAAATAAAAATGTATCAGTTTTGATTTCTTAAAAGTTTGTAAAACTGTGGAAGGGCTTCTCTTACTTAGATGTGGTCAGAATTTAAAGACATAATTGTGAATTTGAGAAGGTTCCATGAAATCACTTAGAAGGACACAGCTTTAATGAAGCTTGAGGCAGCACACTCTTGATCTAGAAAGATCTTCTACTACTTGTTTTTTTAACTCAGGCAAAGGTACTTCATGCTGAAAACAAAGTAGAGATAATTAAACAATTCAAGGACTAAATCTATGTGTGTGGTGTGCTAAGAAGATCAGGAAAAGAAAAGGTTATGTTTGTTACACATTAAAGTTGGACAAATCTAAAACAAAATGGGCAATACCCAGAAAAGCTAAGAGAAAAGCCAGGCTCTACACAAAGAGTTTAGAGACAATCTTTAAATGATTAGTGGTTTGCTGTAGTTTGAATCAGGCCTCCCAACTGTGCTAAGTGTGAGAGAAACCTGGTTGGAAGGAGGATGGGGGTTCACATTTGCCAAACACATGGTGGAGTAAGCAATGGCGCCCCGCAGCTGACCAGCCACTGTCACCCGACGCTGGCCCCATGCAGGAAATTGTACAATCCCGGCTCATGATCACAAGACAGTGGGGATATTTGCTTTCTGTTGACATGAGAATTCAAGCTAAATAGAAAAATGTGTCTGGCTTTGACTTGGATCCTTCTGGCTGGCAGCAGGGACACACTGGGAAGCAGAGAAATGCTCTGAGCCAACACGTAGCGTCAGGGAGGATAGGTGCCTTCAGCAGTCATTGGACCTTTGGCTTGTGTGCTGATGTGGTCTCCTGATGGGATGACTGTAATTTTACCATGGAGACTCTTCTCTCTGCCTTTGATCTTTAGCCCCATTGCCAGATACTTGTTTCTCCCAAATAAACCATGAGTTTCACAGTCACCATGCGCCTGATCATTTCATACCTGGCCAGATGCCTTCTACTCCCACCTCCCCTGAGCTGCACAAAAGTCCTGATGCTCTTTCAAGTCCAGTCCCTTCATCGAGTTCTTCATGCCTGAGGGTGGCAGTACCTCTTCCTACCTCCTTGGGTGCTGCCCTCTGCTCTCACAAAATACAATATGATAGACTTTGACCTTTCTAGAGTTACTGCTTCCTTCTGGAATGTTTTCACTTCTCTTATTTCTAACCTATATTCTTTACGTAGTCTCTCTAACCACTCACTATAAAAAGCAGTATGGACTATTTTATATCAGAGTAAAATATATTGTTAGCATCAGCCAACCTCCTTTTTTGCCTCCTTGCCTTTTTTCTTTTGCTTTCTTAGCCACCGTTTCAGTGACTTTCCTCCACTCCTAGACTTAGAGCCCCTGAAAGGCACCTTTAAGGATAGGCCCTCCAAGGTACCCCCAGCATATCTTCTCATTTACATAACGGCAATATGCTGTAGGCCTGACGACTGAAATAACAAGTTTGGGAACATGGCTAGAAGCATTCCCACTTACCACAGGTTGGAGAGCGGAACCTTGTGTGTACTGACTCTCTCATTTTTAGTAGCATTGGTAGGTTTATTAATAAGGGGGTCCGTAAGAAGTAGGTGACAGGCATGGACCTTTTTTGCATGGCAGTGAGCGATGTAGTCAATATCTACGTGTTTTAGTGTTTGCATCCACAACGGAAAGGATTGTTTGGAGTGTGAAAGTTAAAGAATGTTCTGAACAGATATGTATCACTTATGAAATTCAATACATATGCTAACATATGCTATGCTAGGCGTTCCCTCTTATTTCTTATTTATTTTACTTTTAGGAAAGGATATCACTCTCTTAAGTCTAGGGTTGAATTCATGACACCTTGTTCCAAAGTAGGTAATTTGAGAGAGACTTATAAACAGACTTAAAAAGATGTAGGAAGGATGTAAGGGAGTGCCGAGAAATGTACAATAGCCCAGGGTGATGGAGCTCTGCTCTCGCTCTTAAGGCTGGAAGGTTGGCTCTATGGAGCAGCAGATCCCAAAGGGATGGAAGAACAGGACAGGGCAGAGAAGATAGTCACAGGATAAGTCAGTCTGCAGCCATCCCTCCAGGAGAGAACAGGGAGAACAAGATACCAGGATTCTCCTTTCTCTTTTCCTCTTCAGTATGCCCCCAGGTTCCAGAGCAGATATTCAAGCACCAGTAGGAGGCTTGAGATCCTGGGCCCAGAGTAGATAGGCTATATTTGTATCAGTTATGAAATTTAATACATATGCTATACTCTATGAAGATAGATGGGTTGGAACAAGGAAAGGGCCACCTAAAGACATGGCTTGAAAGAGCAGTTCCTAGACTTCCTAATGCCAACAGGTTCCTCCATCAGCATCCCCTTTAGGTGTACAAGAACAGTGAGTTATGGGAAAAGACAAAGGCACAAATGACCACTGGGACTCTTCAAAAGCCATGAAACGATTCTGATAGCTATTATATGTGACTCTGACAGAAGTAAATTCCCTGTTTCTAGAAAGAGACTCTCCTCACTTGTTCCTCTGGCCACTGGGACAAGGATGTGACCTGCAAGCCTCTTGACTGTGGTGTTCCAGACTCGTCCTTGGTGAATTATGCAAACTTCTCCTGTTTGGAGGGTACTGGATTCCTGAAACGCTGTTCCATCTCATGTGTCCCACCAGCCAAGCTCCAAGGTACTGTCTGACCAGCCAGGGAACTGAATGTGAGCTTCCAGCCATTCCCTTACTCTTGGGGTGCATATCTTTGTACTTTTTTCCCCACCCATATATACTTCCAACTTACTGTTCTCTGATATCGTCATTTGATAATACAAAATCCCCTCAGATATCACCAGTCTTTGTCCTTGAACATGTACAGCAATGTTCTAGATTAGGGTATTCCTGGATTAATAATGAATGAAACTTAGTCTTTGGGTTTTTTGTTGTTGTTGATGTTTTGTTTTGTTTTTATGTGTATTCTCTGATCAGCACAATTGTCCTGATCATATTAATGACCGAGGTACATGTTATTAAGACACTCTGCATTAGGTGTGTTTTGTTGTATATTTCGCAGCTAAGGAAAATACAGTTACACAACGTATCCCTCACTGTGTGACTGCTTGAGATGAAGGGATGCTGGGCCAGGCTCTAACCGCCCACCACACCTTGCTCTTTAGCTCTGTTTCTCAGGCTTCCACTTCTCATTGCATCTGGAAATCTCTCAGCCTTAATTCTAAGATGTGGTTTAGTAGGTTGGCTGGCTAGCGATGCCAATGCTGGCAGCCCTGGTTTATACTGAAAGAAACGAACTGACAGAGTATTATATGGTATGGTATTGAAGTTCAGAACACTGTATCTAAACCACCTATCTCAAACCCAGACCCTGATTTTGTAAGCGTGGGCAAACCACACTTCCTTATCTGCCTAATAAATCTGTTTGATAGGATTGTTTGCTGTTTGGCATTTACACATGTCCGCATATAAAACACTTAGAATAGTGCTTGGTATATAATCACCACTAAAGTACCAACTGTCATTTTTTTAATACCATTCATAATATTATTATTATTGTTATATATTTGATACTTGCAGGTAAGAAGGGGGGGCAATGATTTGATTGGTCGCTCTACTATTGAGATTAGGGAATCTAAGTGATTCTGTGGTATGTGAGACCTCACTGAGAGCTGTAGAGTATGAATATACAGGATCCACATCTGATGGAAGATTTTAGAGACACTGCTTAACAAAGAATAATGGGACTTGAAGAAAGCCACTATGTTCACAGAATTTTGTCTGTCATGCCGTTGTCATGTCCATGTGCTCTCTGTTCTGGATACCATGTGTTCTCTTTACTGGAGTTAGGACTGAGCCCGTGGCTGACCTGTCTTGAAGATGGACTCTGGTCTCTCCCTGAAGTCTACTGCAAGTTGGAATGTGATGCTCCTCCAGTTATTCCAAATGCTAACTTGCTGCTGCCCCAGTGCCTAGAGGGCAACCATGATGTGGGCACCATTTGCAGATATGAATGCAAACCAGGCTACTACGTGAAGGAGACTACGGGAAGCCAAGGCAGGAAGTAAGTGTTCATGTATTTGGTCCCATGCTTTCCTTGCCTCACACCGTGATCCAGCTCCCTCGTGGCAAAGTCCACATCATGTGTTTCTGGGATAGTCATAGCTCATTGTGTTTGCTTTTCTGTATAACTTCAAAATACCTGCACAGACAGACTCTCTGGTCACGACAGACAGGAGTCCAATTCCTATAAAGGCATTGTCTCCCATGAGAGATTCCATAGTCTTATGTAAGTGCTTTTTGGGGTGGGGAACGCTGATTTAATTGTCATTTTCCCTTGGAGTTAAAATGATGAGCCTCCTGAATAGCACTTAGTCCATCTGAGTTCTGTTCACTGACAGCACAATCTCATTAGTGTAACTCAAATCTGAGGCTCAGGGAGCTGTGCCTGGCAGAGTCCCAGGGTGCTTATTACATGTGTCCTGTGTGGACGGTTTCTCTGCCTCGCTTTTCTTAACTAGAAAATGAGATGCTAGTACCAGCCACGGGACGGGGCTAAAGAAGGAGCTTCTTGAATGAATATGTGCTAGGCAAGACTTAATAAGCTGTTTTTAAGCAGAAGGCGACACTTTTTAGCCATCTCCATTCTTGCTTTCATCCTTCTGCTTTTCCTTTCACGAACTCTTATGTGGCAGGGTGGTGGGTGAGTGTCAGGGTGAAGTGCTTGGGGATGAGCTAAGGGCGGAGAGGTGACTGACATGCAGAACAGAACTTTTTCGGATGGGAGAGTTAAGGGTAGAGAGGTGATAGCCAGTTCTCTGAGCTCATAGCTAAGCTTTATGTTGGGAAAATCAGGCTTCCACGGGGGATTCTGGATTTTGTGCCTCCTTCCCACATTCCTGTGTCTGGGCAGGGGCACTTGAGAGCTGTTTGTGCATAGCTGAAAATCTGGACGCTTGCATCAGAATGTCACCATCAGTTTGGTCTTAAGCATTTACATTTGCAAGCACCATGCGAAAGAGAGATTAAATTATTTACCGTGCTGTGTAAACTGATTAAATCTCAGTTTACACCTGTTTATGGAGCAGGCGACGGGTCAGTAATCAGAAGTTTTCAAGCTGAGCGTAAATCACTGTGGCTTGCCACTTGTGTTTACCCAGTGAACTATGCCCTCCTTGTTATACTTGTGTGGAAAAAGCCCGAAGCTGGACAGATGGGGCCCTAAAATTCTTCTTAGGACATATACTTCAGAAGAGAAGAAACAGAAAAGCAGGCAGGAAAATCAAGCCCAAGAAAACAAGTATAGGCTGATGTTATGTAGTTGTATGAAGCGGTGTGTATGTATGTTTGGGGGTGATGCACAGCCGCTGGAGGGCTCCGGTTTGCAACTTATTTGCATGGTAATTCCACATGTCTTCAGTTTTGTATTTACAGTGGGAAGAGGAGTGGCCGTTTCTATGGAATTGTTTGGTTTATGGAAGCTGCACTGAAAGTATTCTATAAGTTACAAAGTTCAACATATGCTATGCTAGGTGCTACTTCCTATTTCTTATTTGTTTATCTTACCCTGGGTTTTTGAGACAGGGTCTTACTCTGTAGCCCAGGCTAGTTTCGAATTCAGAGCAATCTTCCTGCCTCAATCTTCCAAGTGCAGGGATAAATTCTGCTAACTACCATGATTGGCCGTTCATTTCTTTTTAAAACTATAAATGACAGCTTTATTCCCTTCCTGATTTTCTAAAATTTGTTGTTACAAGAGAAATAAGGCCTGAGTGCTGACTCTGGTTCTGAGCTCCCTGCTACAACTTCGACCCATTCTGCCTGTTCTGTGCCACACTCTAGGTTAATAATAAAGATCCAGGCACCAGACCCAGGCAGTGACACCTCAAAGACAGAGACAAAAGCCATAGTTATGGCACATGCCTGAAATCCTCAGAAGTTGGGAGGTAGAGGATGCATGATCAGGAGTTCAAAGCCATCCTTAGCTACATAGCAAGTTCAAGGGCAGCCTGAGCTTACATTAATACTACCAAAAAAAAAAAAAAAAAAAAGCAAAGCAAAATAAAACAAAAAGCCAAAACATTAAAAAAAAATCAAAGCAAAAAATAATAACATTACTTCAAAAGATCAGACAGGCATCTTTTTAGGGCACGATGGCCACACCCTGTTTCTTGAAACCCCTCCTCTTCTGCTCTATTGTCCTCCTTTCCCAATTCTTCTCCTTCCTTTCTGTATCTTCTCAATATCCTTACCTAGCTTTCTTCCTTCTGCCTGATTCTCCAATGGTCATTTTCATCTGAGTTCTCTCTCTCTCTGTTTCTCTCTCTCTCTCAATAAGACTTGTTTATTTATTTTTATGTCTGTGTGTGTGTGAGAGACTACATGCGTTTATATGCACACTTGCATGCAGTTGCCCACAGATAAGGATGTCAGAGCAGACTCAGATCCACTAGAACTGTAGTTACAGTAGACTGTGAGTCATCCCCTGTGGGTGCGGGGTACCAAACCAGGGTCTTCTGCAAAGAGCAGTAAGTGCCCTTAATCATTTAGCTGTCTCTCCAGTCCTATCTTTTCTTTCTTGATCCACACACTAGTCAGGGTTAAAGCTTTTTTATAGTCTTGATTATGATCACATGTTAATGATTCCCAGAACTATACCTGTCACTACAGCTCTTCCCATAATAGTTATAAGGGTGACACAAGCCAAGCCAAATACTGAGAAATGCAGCCATTGGAATATCCCATCTATATCCCATATTCCTAACTATACAAAGGAGAGCCTATAAAGAATCATTCTGAATCTGCACATCTCTTTGCCTGTGGCTCTAGTAGACCCTGAAGCCTGAAAAGCTCTTAGGCATCTACATGTCCTTTGTCCTCTAGTTAACCAACCGACAGCTCTCACCAGGTGTGTTATATGACTTTTGACCTGTAATATTTATGCTGAGTTTATTAAGACTTGCTGCCACAGTAAGTCAAGACACATCTCCATACCAGAATTTCTGGGAGTGTGATCCAGGCACTATCATCTTGAAAAGTTCCCCGAGTTCATTTGATGTTCATCATACGCTGGTCTAGGAGAAAATTGTCCTGGACACAAAGTTAAGACTCATGAAATTTGCAGGCAAATGGTGGGATCTAGAAAAGATCATCCTGAGTGAAATATCACAGAAGGAGAAAGACAAACACGGTATATACTCACTTATATAGACCTATAAGATATGATAAACATAATGAAATCTACACACCTAAAAAAGATAATCAAGAGAGCGGACATGGGGTAAGATTATCAATCTTCATTTAGAAAGACAGATGGGATGCGCATTGAACATATGACAGGAGTCTACTGAGCACATTTGAAAGACTCTAACTAGCAGTGTTTTCAAAGCAAAGACTCATGACCAAACCTTTGGCAGAGTACAGGGAACCATAAGAAAGAAGGGGAGTTAGTCTGATGAGGAAAGGATAGGAGCTCCACAAGGACCAAATATATCTGGGCACAGGGTCTTTTCTGAGACTGACATGCAACCAAGGACCATGTATGAATGTAACCTAGAACCTCTACTCAGATGTAGCCTGTGGTAGCTCAGTAACCAATTGGTTTCCCATAGTGAGGGGAACAAGGACTATTTCTAACAGGAACTCAATGACTGGCTCTTTGGCCTCCCCACCCCCCAAGGAAGGAGCAGTCCTGTTAGGACACAGAGGAGAGCTTTGCAGCCAGTCCTGAAGATACCTGATAAAACAGGATCAGATGAATGGGGAGGAGGTCCCCCCTATTAGTGGACTTGGCAAGGGGCACGGTGGAGATGAGGGAGGGAGGGAGGGACTGGGAGGGAATGAGGGATCGGGACACGGCTGGGACACAGAGTTAATAAAATGTAACTGATAAGAAAAAAATAAAATTCAAAAAAAATTAAAAAAAAAAGACACTTAAAAGAAACTTGTTTGGACAACATTCACCATGGAATTTTCAAGACAAATAAGTAGAAAACAACCTGCCTTTTTAAAAAAGGCATTATGTTATTCTTTTACATGGGAGATATTTACATGTTATTTTGTGCACTACTAATTTTAAAGACAGTAGAGAGAATACAGTATTGTAACCCTCTAAACCAGTAAAGAGTACAAAGTGTTAGGACTTTGACCCCTTCACAGTGGATAATCCACACAACTTTAAGCTCTGCTTATCTTTGTCTGCCATTTCTTTCGCATATATACCACCATTGATTACCACTCTGTTATTTCATCAACCTCACTTCCAAGGAAGCTAAGATAAATGTGTTTGACCTACGTTTTATCAAAAGACCATGCTATTTTCTCTATTATCTTTTACTCCCATGTGTGCTCTTTTTCCATTACAGTTGTCCTTATGTATGAAGGTTAGGTTAGCCTCCTTAGGGGTCCTAATTAATTTAATTCTAAATTATTCTGGCCTTCTAACTTTACTTGACACCCTTTCCTATAAATCACTCATCACAATATTATCCGTAAGGTGGTATAAAAGCCAGACCTTCTGAAAGGAGTTGCAAATGCCATCCTGTGTGAACAGTTCTCATGACATCAACTTTTCAAAAGCTCACCCAAAATGTTATAAACACAATTGATGATCAAGACTGTAGGCCTCACCTTGTGATTGCTTACTTTTGAGTAGTGAGTACCTTCAAAGGTGCTTTGTCTTGTCTGACTCGTGGCAGAGCCTGGAAGCAGTATATATACTTGACCTGGAAACCATATATATACTTGATCTATGTTATGTACAAAGGAAGGCTCCTTGGTATAGTGGAGAATTAAACAGCCTAAGTCCAGGATACTCTTCTATTGTTTGGATAAGAACCATGGAGGTGAAAATGATAACCTGCTATGGACTATGAATGCTAATAATTTTGGCTTCTTCACTCCTTGTATTTCTCAAGGCAATAATTTATTTTATTGTTAATGGAATACTAGTAGATTTTTTTGTTAAAGTATATAAATTGATAAAGTATATACATTGATATGTATGTATATACATAGATATTATATAATATTATGTATTATTATTATATGTTATAATATATAAGA